GCTGGCTAGTAGCAGAAGTGACCTGTCCCTAGAAAGTTTTAAAAGTTGCCACTAAATCCACCATATATCTATTAAACATAGTGATAGGGTGTGTCATGACAGCAGATTGGAACACAACAGTGTTTCTCACCCTCCAAATGTGCCAAAGGGCAACAACAAACTATTTTCCAGCTAGTACTTAGATTAAGGTTGTAGTTAATCCATCCCTCCCAGTCAATATTAAAGAAGGTATGAAAGTTAAAACCTCTATCAACATTATTACCTTCAAAAATCCTAGACCATAATACTCTAGAGTTGATGCAGTCTCTAAATAAGTGAAGATGGGTTTCATTATCCAGATTACACCTAGCACATAAAGGATCAAGATTAGGCATTCTTTGAGCAAGCACCACACCAACTGGCAAAAATTGATGACTGATATTCCACATTAGCATTTTATATTTATAAGGGACAGGGAGATGCCAAAAATTTTTCCATTTGATGGAAGGAAAGGAAGGATGAGGGGAGAAATTCGAGCAAAGATTATAGGCACTTTTTATTGAGAACTGACCATTTTTTTCAACTTTCCAGCAAAGAGTATCTTCCACAATAGCAACTTGAGGAAGAGGGATTCTTTCAATTAGCTCACATAAATAACTAGGAATAATGTGTCTTATCCTATCAACGTTCCAAGTGCCATTAGAGATAATGTGACTCACTCTCCAATGAGCAATAGAGTCCGGAATGGGAGAATCAATGAGAAGATATATAGGCTTTTCACCCACCCAATGATGGTACCAAAGACAAATATCCTCCCCATTCCCGATTCTATAAGAAATGCCCTTTAAAAGAAGCTCCTTGCCCTTAAGGATATCTCTCCAAAGGGAAGAATCTCTATAGCTAGTAATACTATTAATAAAAGAGGAATTCTTAAAATATCTAGCCTTAAGTATTCTCACCCAAAGCTTATCTGGTTCATGAATGATGCGCCATCCAAGTTTGGCCATGAAAGCAAGGTTCCAATTTCTAAGTCTTCTAACTCCCAACCATCCCATCCCTTTACGATGGCACACCTTATCCCAACTAGTCCTAAGAAGGTAATGTGACCTATCTACCTTGTTCCAAAGAAATCTTCTACAACACTTTTCCATATCATCAAGAATAGAGCAAGGAATAAGAGTGGATTGCATAGCATAAAGAGGGTAAGAATTGAGAACCGAGTTAATGAGAGTGTTTCTACCGGCCAAATTTGTAATCCCCCGTATTTTTAAATATGTTACAAATGAAATTTAATTTTATTTATAATATTATTTTGTATTTTTCCGTAATTTAATTTAAAAATATTCAAATTATTAATTTGGGTCAAAAATTATTTTGGTACAAATTATTTTATGAACCTTTCATTCTATAATTTATTTCAATACAACTAAAGCTTAGTCCATTTCATTCATTTGGCCCATTAATTTTATGAGGCTCAATCTTTCTATTTACCCTACAACGTTCTCTCCTATAAATACCCCATGAATCCCCAAAAATTTCCCACACAAAAAGGTTAGTCTTATTTTCTTTCTCCTTTGTTTCATTATTTTGCTTAATGTTAATTTAATTGTTTTAGGTTTTGATTTTAGTATAAAGATTATATTTTTAGTATCAAATTATATTTTGATGGCATAAAGATTATAAATTTCAGATTATATTTATGTTATAAATTTTCATATTTTATGAATTATAAACCTAGAGTTTCAATTTATTGAAATTGGGATTTTAGGGTTTTTATGAACAATTGATTTAGGGCTTTTATAGTAATGATGTTTTGAAATTTTGGTGATTATAACTAATGATTAGTTTAACTTAATTCCAGATTATTTTGAACACGTAAATTCGTGTTTTAATTTTCAGATTACCGTTCGTTAATATTAATCCCGTTTTAATCTCGATCAGGTTCTAAACTCATCCGATTTTGACAAAAAAGTAGTGTTTTCCATGTGGAAACAACGTTTTAAGAAAGAATCACTACCTTTGGTCCAGTGTACCACCCTCTCGTGGCCAAATTCAGCCTCTAAATATGATTTTCGGGCAGTTTTTGATTTTAACGAAGTTTTTTTTATACTTAAAATATTATCCTTGAGTTTGATTAATAAAATTAATTATGTTTAAAGTTAATTAAACATAAATATTTGTTTTATTGAAGTTTTAAGTGCTGGAAATAGTTTCTAAGTATTACTTTTGATGTTTTATAAAGAGGGTTTAATTACCCATTAAAAAGAAAGATTATTAGGGGTTTTTAAATAATTTTAAGATTTTTATTAAACTTTAAACTTGCTGTAATTTCACGTATAAGAGTGTATTTTAAGGTTTTTATGATGAAAATTTAAAGAACTATATATAATCCTTTAATTTTAACTAAAGGGAAGGTTTTAAAGTGTTGTTTGATTTGGATTTTGAAGGCTTTAAAATAAGTTAGTATTGCTGTAAATTTGATTGATTGGGTATTGATTGAGATGTTATTGTTTGGTTTAGGAGAGGAGTTTATTGAAGGTGATTTCTAGATAGTAAAGTGGCAGACCAATTCGTTTACTCAAGGTACGTACAAGTTACGAAACCTTGCTTTTAGGTGCATGTTTAAGGACGGATCGAGAACTTAGTATCATGTATAGGGATGATTGGGTTAAATTGTTTGGTTATACATTGTGAATTTCGTATGACGTGCACTATTTTATATTGCAAGAATTATTTGCGCTCTAAGTATGCAAGGTGCGCTTAGAGGCAAAGGTATGTGATTTGTGGAATGATTTATTTATTAATCATTCATGATTATTGAAACAGGATGAGTAACGGAAGAATTCAAGTCTTATAAGACGGGGTTAAGGTTTTGGGGTGCCTTATGCACTCAAGGTGTTTATACACCGAGGTAGTAAAAGGAATAAATAATAAATGTTTCTTGTTACTAATAAATCAAGAATTGAAATTGGAAAGTTTGTTTTACTTGATTGAATTGATATTGGATTGATTGTATTGTTCTGGAGTAATGACAATCAGGGGTTGGGGTACACGGGGTATTAGCCGTGTACTTTTCTCGAGGCCGTCTGATCTACGAGTCTCTTATTTCAAATATTTTTTAAAACTAGGAGTTAGGTGAGATATCATACTAACTACGGTCACGGAGTCGCGCCCGTGGTCATTGGATGTTTATTGATGTTTCTAAAAGAAGGCATGGGGTTTTTCTTTTATTGATGTTCCAAATGGGACATGGGTTGGACAACCTTGTCTATTGCTAAATCCAATGAAGTAAATAAATGAGTTAGTTAATATTAACTAGTGAAGTCTTAATAAATTTGATGGTTGAGTCATGTGTTGAGTCTATAATTTAATGATGCATGATGATTGATTATTAGTAGCATGTTATGGATTTCTTATTTGTTTCACAACTTGTATGTACTCAGCTTTGCTGATTGCGTGCTTTTGTGTGTGTCTTTCTTTGGTCATGACCTTCGCCTTTCAATGACCCTGTGTCGATCCAATTTTTACACTTGTAATATTGGGGAGCAGATTAACCACAGGTTCTTACACACGCAACATTCGCATCAGGGTTGTGGGATTTTGAGTGGAGAGTTGGTTATTATTCGTAGTTTATTTATTTTCATAAGTTTGAATTTTATTAAACTCTGGTTTATTTATTTACTACTTTTGTGGGGTTTTGAATAAGGGCCTTAATGGTTCTAGCTTGTATCATTTAATTTGGTTTTGGTTATTGGTTTTAAAACTTAATTATAACTGAGTTAGTTTTTCCGCTGCTAATTTCTGATATAGCCTTAACGTTTGAACACGTGGGGGTAGCACGCCAGTAATTCTCTTGGATTTTGTTCAGGGTATTTACAGGTTTTAAGAGAGAATTATTGGGGTGTTACAAAATTAATAAGCTTAGCTTGCCACCCCTTAATTCTATCCTTACTTCCTTAGTTTTGTTAAGAAGGTCAATGTAATCCCCTTTCCTTAGTCTATTAGGACTAATGTTAACTCCCAAATACTTCCCAAAAGAGGGAGCCTCTTTAATATTGGACACCTCAAGAATGACCTATTTAAGAGAAAGACTCATTTTGGGAGGAAAGACTTTAGACTTTGTGGGACTAATGTAGAGGCCCGACTTAGCACCAAATTCCTCAAGAGTGCTTTTTATGACCTCTACATTGCCCACCGAAGCCTTAGCAAAAAGAAAAATATCGTCGGCATAGAAAAGGTGAGAGATACTCACATCTTTATCAATTTTGATCGGACTCCATTGGCCAATACCAACTTTGTGCTCAATCGTTAATGATAACCTTTCTAAGCAAAGAACAAAAATATAGGAAGATAAAGGGTCCCCTTGCCTTATTCCCCTTGAAGGAGTAAAACTATCCGTAATTTCCCCATTCCAAAGAACGGCAATATTAGGAGCGGTAATACATCTCAAAATCAACTTAACAAGGCTCTCCGAAAAATTAAATCCCATTAAGGTTTCCCTAATAAAACCCCACTCCAAACTATCATAGCGGCTTTAGAAATATCGAATTTAAAAGCCATAAGATGTTTTTTGCTAGAATTTTTAAAGTAGTGAGCTATTTCTTTAACCACAAGGATGTTTTCTTCAATAGACCTTCCCTCAATGAAACTAGATTGAACCGGATTAACTAGATTGCCCAAAAGAGGTTTTATTCTATTGGCAATAATTTTAGTGATAAGCATATAAATCGTATTACACAGTCCTATGGGTCTAAATTTATTCATCGTGGCTGGATTTTCATTTTTAGGGATGAGAGAAATATAGGACTTATTAATAGACAGAGGAATGCTTCCTTCCAAAAAACAATTGGTTACCAGTTTAATAATAGAATTACTAACAATACTCCAATGTTTTTGGAAGAAAATAGGTTGGATACCATCGGGACCACGGCTTCACAGGCGATGGGGAAAATTTGAAATAAAGTCAAACATTTAGTGCACTAGAAGCAAATTTTGGGTACAAGAAAACAAGATGCACAGTCTCACACTCCTTAAAAATTTTTGACCTTTTTACTTGTAAAGCAGAACAAACACATATTACACAGTCTCATTAGGGAAATTCCACAAGCTCAAGATTGAAGACATAAAACTACTCATCGTTATACATAGAGAAAAAAAGGTTCTACATTTCATTATAGTATTAGGCTCACGATGTAGAAGTTTTATTTGATTTTCTAAAGCTTATGCCTCAATTTTATCCATCCATAACACACATCGAAGACACTTCCCCTCGATGAGCAAGTCGAAGGCCTTGTTGATTTCCTCGAACTTCATCTCATGCGTTACAAAGTCATCCAGTCGCAGTTTCTATTACAATAAGTTAGCAGGAATTAATATGTCAAATTTGTAAGATGATGTAGCAATTTATCTACATTCTGATCATAATAATAGGTAGGAATTGAAAAAAAAAATTTGTGTGCATTACCTTATCCAAGTACCACTTAACTAAAGTGGAAATGTCAGTTTTGGCTTTGATACCTCCAAACAGTGAACCTGTAAGGATTTTGCCGTTGTGTAGCACGTCGTGAGAGCTAAGACTCAATTTTGAGTTAGGCTTATCGACTCCTAGGACCACCGTCTTCCCCCAACCCTGGCACATTCAAGGTAAAAGCGTCAGGCTTCCGTTTATGACATAAACTCACACTTGAAGCATAAGTAAGGGCCAAGTGATCAACGACCAGATCACAACAATTCGAACTGGACTTATTTAAGGCTAAGTGGCATACATGTTGAGACACCTAACATTCAGTAAAATACTTGTAAATAGAAGGTGAGTTCGTTTTTTTTCCTCTCTCTTTGGGCCCTACTTCAATATTATGTCATTTTAATGAAAAAAAAAATTCGTTTAAATTATAGTGTGTTAAGTACTTAACATGTTAGATGTTTAAAGTTTATATTGTTACAATAATTCGGTAAAACCTGCTTACTTGAACCTAAAACCTATTAAAAATTTCCCATTATTAGGTTGAACAGAGAGAAGAACCTGTCTGCAGCAAGCAAAAGCTTCTTCCACTAACGACGACATGCCCACACACTCGAAGCAGAAGTCTGCACCCCCATCTGTCATCTCGTTAATAACCTGTTCAGTATAACAGCATGTCAGAAACCACATTTCACACAGTCTATTTAGGCAAACATCAGAGTAATTAGACTTATAAGAGATAAATGAATTAAGAGTCTAAATGAAGAAAGAACAATCAGAAAATATTTAGACATCAGCTAGCAGGTGAAAAGAAAGGATTGAAACCGTGCCTCACTGACAGATTTAGTTGCATTCTCCTTAGGATTAACAAAATGTGTAAGTCCAAATTTCTTTCCTGCAGTTTATAAAGCATGATGAAAGCGAGACAACATTTATAAGATCATCTCATTAAATCAACATCAGATACAGATAAATAACAGGAATGCAGGATAGATGCGAAACAAATATGTAACACGAAAGAGGGAAAGGTTACCTGTTTCAAATTTAGAAGGATTTACATCTACACCAATGATTTTAGTAGCTCCACAAAGTCTTGCTCCCTCTGCAACCTTCATAAGAACAACAAGACCACAAGATTAAGTCCTGCCTCAACCCTTGGTTTGTCGTAAATTAGAAGCAAATAAGTTACATACCGCTAATCCAATTGCACCTAGACCAAATATAGCAACTGTTGAGCCTTCATCAACTTGTGCCGTTTTCCAAGCAGCACCCACCCCTGCAGGTAAAATTTTCTGTCAGAAGTTTCAAGTTGGACGTGTATGTTTTAGGCTCATAAACCACGCGATTCCAAAGCTCATAAACTCCCTTTACAGTATAATGAATTAAGCTTATAAGGTCTAAGACTCAAAGTCAAGTAATGGTAAAAAAAAAAAAAAAAAACTATGTTACTCAGACTCAAGTACTTATTACCAAGTCGGACTTAGCTATAATATGAAAATATAATGTTTATGGTCCTAATTGAAGTGTCAATTAAGTGCCTATACAAATATCGACATGTATGTCAAGGAATAAATATGGTATACAAAGTACAATGAAGAATTTGAGTAGTAAAATATATAATTAAGGTATAAACACATTGACCAAGATTACCTGTGGAAACTCCACAACTGAGAAGGCAAGCCCTGTTAGGCGGAATTCGTGGATCAACCTTGGTTACATGAGCAATATCCACAACCGTATACTCAGTGAAACTCGAAACATGCAAAGAATGGTACAAGAAGTCTCCCTTAGAATCTGTAAATCTACTAGTTTCATCTCTTGGCATCATAGCTGATAACTTAAATGGCAGCGTCGTACAGAGATTGCTCTTCTTTGATTTACAGTCAGTACAATCTCCACAATTTGCCAAAAATACAGGCATAACAAAATCTCCTTCAGCAAATTCTTCGACACCTTCACCTACACTCTCCACGATCCTATAGTGCCAGTGCCAAAAACAAGTGTTAATAGCCAATTTTCAGACTCAAAATATAGTTATCTTACTAAATTTTCTAGGCATTTTCTGTAAAATGAAACTTCATGGCATTACAACTTCTTAATAGTTACATCAAATCAAACAACCAATTATATTTTGTGGCGTCCCAAAATAATAAGCCATCTTTGAGATTGTAGCTCAGTTAAATTTTCTTACTTCTGTTTTTACTCTAACTAATTCAGTCCTCTCTAAGAATTCCACACATAGAAATTTATTTAAATCAGTTCTATAAAACTTAAGAAACAAGATATCAGCAAGCACAATATAATTATAGGAAGAGAAAATTGTGAAAAAAGGACCTGGTCGAATTTTTGAAAAAGGACCTTTTAAGTGAAAATTTATAATAAAAAATGAACTTTTAAGTGAAAATTTGTGAAAAAGACCTATTCAGTTTTATTTTATTTGAATGGAGTACTTGGGTGATCTTGGATGGTGGTCAACACTGGAGCTTCGGGGTTGACTATCATGTATTAGTCAAGTGTTTTTTTTAAAAAAAAATTAAAAAATTTCTCCAAATTTCCATCATTTCTCGACCTAACCCTTTCATACTATATTCTCACGGAGGACGGGAAAGGGGGATTTTTTTTTTTTGAAAATAAGTCATGTGACTAATATGTAATAGTGAACGCCGGAGCTCCGAGATTGACCACCTCGCAAGGTCACACAAGTACCCTATACAAACAAAATTTAACTTTAAAAGAACCTTTTTTACAAGTTTTTACTTCAAAGGTCCTTTAATAAAAAAGTTCATTTAAAAAGTCTTTTTTCACAATTTTCTCTTATAGGAATTAAGGGACAATGAAACCAAGGGAGTAATACAACATTTTAGGATTCTACCAATAGTAGTAGACAAATACTTGTAGTTAAGACCTAGCTATATGAGTATGTGCATATGATATAATTAATTTTGTTTGACGTAGTAACGTGATACACTTACTCACATGTTAAATAAGACAAGCTATGCCAATTATATTTATGGGTACTCAGTTATTTTAACAAAAAATGATTGGCGCAGACCTGACAATTGGATACTCCCTATATGGTATATCATTCATTCATTACTCTTATTTAACTTAATTTGGAAAATTTTGGGGCATGATTCCCACAACTTTAGCTTGAATATTGCAAACACACCAATTGTGAATTCTTTCCCTACCAACTCCTATCATCTACGTAATGTGAATTTATAATGAAACTTTACAAAAATTCATTGACACATAAATATATCTTGTTTAACTTATTAATTCAAAGATTATCATTATTAAACTTTAATGAAATAAATTGACGTAAACATATCTTGTTTTTTGAATTTAGGAAAATATTATACATAGCCCTTAGGGCTACATATAATCATTAAATTTACACTTGAAAATCGTAAAAAGTTAAGAAATTATCAAAATATAAACACTAATAACACTGATTTACGCGTGTTTTTGTCATGAATTCCTAATTTTATATAATTTCCAAGAGTATATTTAATGCTTATATATAGCCCTTAGGGCTGCATATAACATTACCCATGAATTTATAATACTATAGAGTAACATTAATTTGATAAGAAATTATATATATAAAAAAATGATTTTAGTTTATACATTTTCCTTAGTAGTTGACATGTAGAAATTTTATAAATTATTGATTTAATGAATAATGATTTTCCAACTTTAGATTTGTTGTAATATAAAAAGAAAATTTATTGTTATTAATAGTTAATGAAATATGTGTGTATACTTATGCTTGAAAATGATAATTTAAGTTATGGTAAGATTTAATTTAATAACAACTATAATCAAAAGAAAACTTTGGAAAGTAAATTTAGGCGGAAAATCATTTTACCACAAAATGACATGTGTCATCTGAAATTCGCCTTTAGTATAGGTTTATTCATTGATTGATTGATGATGATTATTGATTGATTGATTTCTTTATGCATGTTATAGATGACTAACTCAACCAAAAGGTTAAGTTGATGGTTGAAGTTAAACACGGATTTATACGGTCTATCATACCCTCTTGGCCTCTTATTGAGAGTGGGCTTGAGAATTTGAGATGTGAAGCAGCTTAGATCTATCTATATCCTAGGTGAAATAAATTAGATGAGATCTGAACTTGGACATTTTACGGCCCTATGAGTAGGTAGTACGGTAGTAGGAAAAATAACTTCGTATAGATCAAACATGTGACTTTACCCTTACTAGCCAAGACCAGTAGATGCAGCCAAACATAAAATTCATGACTTACCACTTCCTTGCATGTTCAGATGTTCTTATTCAAGTGGTTTACAAAATGAACTTTTTCTCCAAACACCCTACTATGTTCTTCCCCACCCATTTATGTCACCATCCAAAAAAACAGGTAAAATAAAAGAAATCTAGTACGGAGTAAAAATTATTGGCAAATAATGAGTGAACAGAAGAAAAAGTTGAGAAAATTACCCAACAGCTTCATGACCTAAAATTCTTGGAAAAAATCCTGGAGGATCCTTCAAAAAAAAAAACATATAATCAACGATCATAATAGATAATTACTCGTGATATTAATATTTTAGTCAACGCTTATTAGTATGCGTCAACCTTTTCATGTACATATATAATTGAAATGTATAACAAAAAGTTTAATACATAAAAAATGGGAGTAGGAAATAATATGTACTTTCAAGCTCCATAAGGTAAGATCACTGTGACAAAGAGAAGTACACAGAATTTTAATGCGAACTTCATTTGATTTTGGTGCTGCAACTGTCACTTCCTCTATCACTAACGGCTTCCCTGCTTCCCTAGCTACCGCAGCTGCACCGTTTCAATCATTCACAACCATAAACGACGAGTTTAATTAATAATAAGATGGTAGAGCGTGGTTGATCAATTAATTTACTATAAACCGAACATTTATGACTTAATTAATTAGTAATAGTGCATATATTATTATTTTGAGAATGATTTTTTGGTATATATGATTTTACATACCTTTGCAAAGAATGGGCTTCCCAATTGATGATGAAGATGGCATGATTGATGTTTTTTTAATTTCCAACCTTTTTTTTGGGGGGGTTAAATGTTTGAGGCTTCGGATTCTGATGTTGATTCTAAGATCTCCTGCTTGGTTTCTTTCAAGGGAGGAGAGCATTTATAGTATGATGGGGCCGTGGGGCCGTCTGAACATGATACAGCTTAGCATAAATTAATACCTTGTCTTATTAATAATGCCTAAATTAAATTATTGCATTCAAGTTTGATTGTGTTAATTATTAAAGAATGAAATAATTAAAATTTTTAAAGTTCAACTTTAATCGTTAATTTTATTGATAAAAATATACTCCGTATTACACTATTTCTTATTGTCTATGATTAATTTGGGAAATAAATACGCAATAGAAATTCAAATTCGTCTGAAATAAGAAAAACATTATATAAGCACAAATTAATTTTATATGGAAATTGGTTAGTCAATTATTCATGGTTAATCTATAAGTAATAAATAAAGTACATAGAGTAGTTATACTTAAAACATAATAAATTCTTTTCTTCTCAATCTTAAACTATTTTAACATTTAATTATGTAATCCATGCTCTAACTACTTTCTTCGGTTGTGTAGGAGTTCTCTTCCTGAGGAAGGTATCAATGCTCTATTTTTCTTTGAAAAAAAAAATTAAAAAAAAAATTACTCTCACGGTGAAAAAAAATATTATAGAGTACTTTTATTTTTGTCCAGCTACAACAATTTCTCATGGTCTCATGGATGAACCCAGCCTAGCCGGTTGACCCTTTGGAAAGGGGAAGTGTGTGTTATGTTTGTGAGATTGTCTATATAAACTCTCTCATTAAACCAAAACTTGATAAAAAGAATGAATTACATAATACGGAGTAAGGGTCTATTCAATTCAGCTTAATTTCACTTTAGTGCATTTCAACTCCAATTAATTGAGTTTAGTTCAGCTCCTAATTTCCTTCTCTCATAAACAATTCATTTCAGCTCTATTCAGTTTAGTTCAGCTCCAATCAGTTCAATTCACTTCAACTCCAATCAGTACACTTCAGTTCAATTTAGCTCAGTTCAGTAATGTAAACAAGCCCTAAGGCTGTTCAATCTTTTACAAAAACTTTTTTAATTAACATTAAATTGAATATATAAACACGATAGTCTGTTTTTAAAATAAATGGACCCTTTAAAATAGGGGTGAGCATGAGAAGGGTATCCATACTGTTAGTATTAACGGTTCGGGTAATCGATAACCAATATCACTAAAAGTGATATCCATAAACCGAACCAATACGATCAAGATATTGGTATCCAAATTGGATGCCGAACCGAACCGATACGATCAAAGTCGGATACCTTGATTATCAAATTGGTTATCGGATACCCAATAAGATATACAATAATGATAATAAACTTAATAATGTAGTTATATATTATGATATCATTTAACACTAATTAACAACACCACCACATGAACTTGACTAAATTATAATAATATTACTAATCACTGATATTATAAAGTGATTATGGAGTAAATTAAGAGTTTGGATTTTAGAAAAATAAATTTAAGTAGGAAAAAAACAAAAAATTGCTTATCCGATCGGATTGGGTAACCATTAATTTTAGAATAATATCCAATAATCACATCCGATAATAAATTATTATAATGGGTACTCAAACCGTTATAATTATCGAATCGGATATCTTAAAACGGTTACTAATATTGGGCTTGTTTAACATCAGTTTTGGTTTTCAGTTTTTTGTTTTTTTGAAAACCAAAAACCAAAAACAGAAAACAAGAAAAAAGTGTTTTCACTTTTCTGTTGTCAGTTTTCAAAATTATCATAATTTTGATAAGTTTATATAATTTTTGATTTATTATGGGACACATATCATATACTTTTAGAAAAAAAAAAAAACCACAGCAATGCCAAACGAATCCTAAGTTTTCAGATTTTCGATTTTTCCCATAGTTTTACTCTACCCTACTCCAAATATCGTGTTCATAGGACAAAACAAACTAGTGGAATAATATAACTTTAGATCACAACTAGTCATGAGCTCATGACTCTCATAGAGTCAACTATTGCTTGTCTCATCGTCACCGACAGGCCTATGCATTACAACGTGTTATACCAAAAGAGTCATTTTATCTTAAGAACTTCAAAAACCCAAACTTTAAAGATTTTATTATAATATTAATAATTGACGAACATAATTGACTAGCACGTTGAAGATGAGAGATAGTAGATACGGAGATACCAAATGCATTAGTTTTCAATTCGGGTCAATATGTTGGGTTTGGGTGGGGGCTTGGGGTTGAGACTAGTCGAATTAGAATCATGTTAAAATTATTATGTCAATTTATATATATAGGGGGAGGCTCTCGTGAGAATAATTCTTATGTGAGAACACTCTTTATGTTCTAAATTTTTACTCGTATGTTCTAAATTTTAAATATGATGTTCTAAACTTTTCCTTAGGTGTTCTAAATTAAATCAAATGTTCTAATTTAGTACTCTCATGTTCTAAACCATAAATTAGTTAAGTTTAATATCATAAATTTTAAATAAATTGTTCCAAAATTTAACTTATATGTTCTAAATTTTAAAATGTGTGTTCTAAGATATTTAATTATATGTTCTAGATTTTAAAGCGTATGTTCTATTTTTTTACTCGTATGTTCTAAATTTTTCACTCACACTTTCTATATTCTATATCAGTTTGTTCTAAATTTTTATTCCCATGTTCATAATCTTAAATCAGATGTTCTAAATTTTACTCATATGTTTAAAATTTCATAAAGCAGTTTTTATAAATTTTGAATCACTTGTTCTAATTCTTAAATCAAATGTTCTAAACATATTACTCACATAGATGTTCTAAATTATTACTCAGATGTTCTAAATTTTAATTTCAGACACATGTTTAAAACTTTTACTGATATGTTCTAAATTTAAAATCAATTCTCATATAAGTATGAATTCTCACATATGAACCTATTCTCACCGAATCTCTCCCCTATATATATATATATATATATATATATATATATATATATATATATATATATATATATATATATATATATATATATATATATATATATATTGTTAGAGGACCAACTTGCATCTTCATTTTCAAGCCCAAAGGGCCTTTCATGTGAGGGAGAGTGATAGAGTATAAAACATACTCTTGGGCCTCAACCATCAGCTTAAGCTTTTGGTTGAGTTGGTCCTCTAACACACACACACAACATACTCCTGGGCCTCAACCATCAACTTAAGCTTTTGGTTTAGTTGATCCTCTAACACACACGCGCGCGCGCACACACACATATTTTACCGGATTTACCCATAATTCAACAATAAAAGTTAATCATACTAAACCCTACTATAGTCTTTGTGATCACCTATTTCATAAGCACTTTATAATAGTATAATTATATATTACGACAAATAACCATGTTTATTTCTTCAAATTATAAAGTATCAAAATTATAGTAAAAATTCCTTCAAAAAAAAATAGTAAAATTATAGTAGTATAGTAGTCACATGACAAGGGGGGTGGGGGCTAAATTTATACTTTTATTATTTAAAAGAAAATCCAGTGAAATCTCCGACATCGGGAATAAATTGTTTATGTCAATTTACCGCACCCAACCCCCAAAGTTTATGTTGTTGTGAGCATGGGGAGACTTTTAGTCCGGTTGTGAAACCGGTTACTATCCGTACTGTTCTTAGCCTTGCTTTGTCTAAAGCTTGGTCGATCCATCAACTTGATGTTAAGAACGCTTTTCTACATGGTGAGCTTCAGGAGACAGTCTATATGCATCAACCACTTGGGTACCGTGATAAAACTCACCTTGATTATGTGTGTTTATTGCGGGGATCTTTATATGGACTTAAGCAGGCACCCCGGGCATGGTATAAGAGGTTTGCAGATTTTGTTGTTTCTATTGGTTTCACCAATAGTAAGAGTGACAATTCCCTATTTATTTATCGCCAGGGGAAAAATGTGGCTTATTTGCTTTTATATGTTGATGACATTATTCTTACTGCTTCTTCTGATACTCTGCGGTGTTCTATTATGTCCCTTCTTAGCTCGGAATTTGCTATGAAGGACTTGGGTCCACTTAATTATTTTCTTGGAATAGCAGTGAAAAGACATAAGGGTGGTTTATTTTTGTCACAACGCAAGTATGCAGAGGAGATTATTGAGCGAGCAGGGATGTCTTCATGTAAGCCTTCAGCTACACCTGTTGAGGTGAAGTCGAAGGACAGCTCTTCCGGCTCTCCCTTTTCCGACCCCACATTGTACCGGAGCCTAGCTGGGGCTCTGCAGTACCTCACTTTTACGAGGCCGGATATCTCATATGCGGTCCAACAGGTATGCTTACACATGCATGATCCAAAGGAAACTCACATGTCTGCTCTGAAGCGGATAATCCGATACATCCAAGGCACTATTGACCATGGTTTGCATCTTTATCCTTCTTCTGTTTCTACCCTTATATCCTATACAGATGCTGATTGGGGTGGGTGTCCCGATACGAGACGATCTACTTCTGGATATTGTGTATATTTGGGTGATAATTTGATTTCCTGGTCATCGAAACGTCAGGCAACTCTGTCTAAGTCTAGTGCAGAGGCAGAGTACAGGGGTGTTGCAAATGTTGTTTCGGAGTCTTGTTGGCTACGAAATTTATTGCTTGAGTTACTTTGTCCTATTAAAAAGGCTACATTGGTTTATTGTGATAATGTGAGCGCTATTTACCTTTCGGGTAATCCGGTACAACATCAACGTACCAAGCACATTGAGATGGACATTTTATTTGTTCGTGAAAAGGTACGTAGCTAGGGGTGAAGTTCGGGTCCTACATGTTCCTTCCCGGCACCAAATTGCGGACATATTCACGAAAGGACTACCACGGGTACTTTTTGAAGATTTCAGAGATAGTCTAAGCGTCCGTCCTCCTCCGCTTTGACTAAGGGGGTGTGTTAAGATAGTTATGTAAATAATTATCTTAGTCAATTGTAAATATTCTTGCCTAGTTTATAGCCTTGTTTATAGCCTTAATTAGTGGATTATGCTTAGCTTGTAAGTTGTATATATACACAGCAATATGGAATGAAATACTCACGGATTAAATTCCTTTATTTATTGCTCTACTTAAAGT